CCGCCCCGCACTCGGCCTCGGCTCGGCCCAGGGCCGCCCTGGACACCACTGGGGAAGACTGGGCTCAAGACGGCTCTGAGGAGGAGCGCTCCAAGGACTCTGACGGAGAGGACCCGGAGATGGCGATGGCGGCGGCGGCAGGGGCCGGGCCCGCGCCTGGCCAAGGCCCCGGGGGGAGCACCAGCGCGGAGGGGAGGGGGCTTCTCCCCGCGCCCGCCCTGCCTCTGGGCTTCCCCTACTACACAGGTGTGCGGCCCCTCTGTGTCCTGCGGACAGCAGGTTGGCGGTGGGGCTGGGGGCACAGGGTGAGGGCAGGGACCTAGTGACCCACGCTCTCCCTGACACACCCAGGTGCTGTGGGAGGGCTTTTCACAGAGGGGGAGGCTGCAGCCCCTGAGGACATCAGCAAGTGGAGTGTGGAGGATGTCTGCAGCTTCGTGGGGGGCCTACCTGGCTGTGGAGAATACGCTCGGGTGAGAGATGCGTGGGACCGGCGGGGGCTCTTCAGTCCCCTCCTTTGGACATTTTCCCTTGTAACTTGCACAAACCAAGCCCTGGGGGCCTGGCTGTGTTGGAGCAGTGGGCAGAGCTGATCTGCCCCGACTCCAGGTATTCAGAGAACAAGGGATTGATGGAGAGACCTTGCCGCTGCTGACAGAAGAACACCTACTGACCACCATGGGGCTGAAGCTGGGACCTGCCCTCAAAATCCGGGCCCAAGTGAGTACGGCTTTTGATAGTGAGGGCAAGACACAAACACTGTTCATACTACAGACAGACCAGCCCCACCAGGACCTCTTCCCTGGCAGTCACCCATTCGCACTCATCTCTTTGTAGGTGGCCAAACGCCTGGGCAGAATCTTCTACATGGCTAGTGTTCCTGTAGCCCTGCCACTCCAGCCAAGCCTGCGGGGCCCTGAGCAGCTCAGCCCAGGACAGCAGCCCCTATCCCCAGCAACACCTACTTCTCCCTATGGGTCTCCCTATGGGGGGGCCCACCCTCATGCAGGCCGGGCCTCCCCTAAACAGGAGAATGGTTCTGCAGCGGTGGCTCTGCTCCCAGGGGCCTCAGACCCCTCCCAGCCTCTGTGCTAAACTGGCAGGTGTCCCCACCTCTGCACACGCATAACACCCACAATTCCCAGGGCTTTTTTTCCATTTTGGCTTTGGACAAAGTGTGGGGGAGGGGTGAGAAACACAAGAGTTTTTTTTTTTTTAAAGGAAAACATGTGACTTGAAAGGAAACAAATTTAAGTGTGGAAAGGATTGCAGAGGTCTGCAGACAAACCAAAGACAAAGGAGGTAGAAGCTACTGGAGCCTCCCTCCTCCCTAACAACTGGGACTGCTCTGTGCCCTGGCATCAGATGGCAGCCAGCCTCCTGCACAGCAGCAGCAGACTCTCGTGCTGGTTCACTTTCTCAGGTCAGCACAGCTCTTGGTACATGCGCCGGTTGTGTTATAACAATAAAGCCCCATAGCCTCCTGCTGCGTGGATGATGGCTTCTGGGACACCACAGGAGACCTTCAGTCCTCCTCAGAAAGCTGCAGATCCTCCAGCTCATCCTGTGGCCCCTGAGCCAGCTGCCACAACTCCCTGGGGTCCAGCCCTGCCTCTGCATCTGGGCCTTCATCTGCAGGGAGAGACCAGGCCACAGAAATTCTGCTGTATCAGAAAGCCAGTCTTAGAGGTTACTTAATCATCACTAATTAATCACAGCACTAATTAATTTATCAGTGCCCGTATAGCTGGCTGCCAGAACCCATGAGAACAGAGCAGCAGGCATGGCAGCGAGGGATGTGAACCTGGCTCAAAGCCACCCTCCCATGACCTCACTGCCAGATGGGTCTCCCAGGCCAGGTTCCTCATGGCAGAAACCACTCACTTTCTGAGTCACAGTCTTCCTTGTCCTCCTCCTCTTCCTGGTTCTCATCCTCTTCCACCCCTTTTGGAACTCTCAGGAACCCAGGCATCCCTGGGGATCAAGAGCCAAGTGCATGATTACCACCAGGGACCAGCAGCAAAGCAGTAGCGACACAGGAGAGTGGGTCAGGCCTACAGCCGAAGTCTAGGGAACACTTGCTTTTCCCTCAGTCTGAAAGGAGGCCCCACCTCAAACTGGAGGCAGGAGAACATGAGGGGGCTTACCCACCAGCTAGACACGTCCCCGGTGCAAGAAAGCACCTCCCCGCCCCCAAGCACACACACATGCTCCCCAGAAAGAGCACTGCCAAGGCGGCACAGCCCTCACCTCTCTCTGAGAAGTCTGGACTCTCCTCCTCAGCACTGTCCAGCTCAAAGAGGTCTTTAAATTCCTTCCTGTCCTCATCCTTCCGGTCTTCCACCTTCCGCCGTTTGATCTCTGGGAAGTTCAGGTCTTCCAACTATAGGGACCAGAACCAGAGTGAACAGAGCCGAGAGCCAGCTCCACCTCTTCACAAGGGGCCGAGTCACTGCAGCAGGTGCCTCAGAAGGGGATGACAGCTGCCAGGCTTTTCCCAAGCCATCTCCCTATCATCACAGCACCTGACTAGACCTCTGGTTGGCCATTCTCACTTTTCTCATTCTCCTCTGCTTTGCTCATATATCTGCAAGCTACTGCTGTCAAATCTGTATTTTGCAACCATCTCGAACCTATCCACAAGTCACCAAGTACCAGGGACAGGCCACAGAATAAAAGAGAAAGCCCACTGCTGCCCTTCTCACTGGCCTGCCTCCTAAGATCAGGCTGACCTGGTTCGCATGCCACTCCAGCCACCCTGGCCAGGCGTGCAGGACAACCACCCCTCTGCTCACTGGTAACTACCGTACCCTGTTAAGACAGTCACAACTGTCACATCTAACATCACCCCAGGTCTCAACAGTAGAACGCACCAGGTATGTCTCTGCTCACTGGTAACTACCGTACCCTGTTAAGACAGCCACAACTGTCACATCTAACATCACCCCAGGTCTCAACAGTAGAGCGCACCAGGTATGTCTCTGCTCACTGGTAACTACCGTACCCTGTTAAGACAGTCACAACTGTCACATCTAACATCACCCCAGGTCTCAACAGTAGAGCGCATCAGGTATGCCCTGCTGGTCTTAGAAGCCATGTTAACCTGCAAGATCTGAATCCAGTCATCTGTCCACACCCAGTTCCCAGCCAAAAGCCATACCCGTTCTTTGCCACTAATCTCCAGCTGGATCTCACGGTCCCTCAGCTTCCGCCAGTGGCTGTAGTATCTGGTGAGTGGGGTCCCCTCTTTCCGGGCCTGCTTCTCCCAAGCATCCTGGGGATTAGGGCAGTTTAGGGCCATGTCTCATCTTTGGACAATCCCCAAACCCTGACACACCTTGACTTGTACACCGAGTAAACCACCCAGCACCCAGAAGCCAGGTTCCAACTGACCACTGCCAGCTGGTCAGACACACTGAAGGAGATCCGGCGGCGGCAGCTACAGATGTACTCTGCATTCTCCTGCACCTTCTCCAGCAGTTGTCGGACTTGCCGGCAGTAGTTGGCCACCTTGCATTCCCGGAGGAAGGATTTCAGCTGCAGAAGGTGCTCAGTTCAGTGCAGCTCCACACACAACAGGGCTGCCCCAAACCCCCACAGTGGCCCACGGGCCTGCTGTCCTGTCAGTCATGTCAGTGTCTCTAAGGCTAGCTGGCACACAGCCCTGCTAGACTGCTCATGAACTTTATGGCTGCTTCTGAAGGGCTTTACAACAGTTGAAAACTCATACTATACAAAACTTAGAACAGGTGCTATTTGGCCCTTTACTGAAGAAGAAAAAAAAAAAACACCTGTGGAACCATACCATAGACCTCACCCTAGGATCGTGAGCCCAGCAGATAGAGGTATGTCGACTACCAGACTACAGGACAGACAGAGGCCACTATTACACAGCGTGACTGCACACTTGTGCTTAGCTATTGTATAACCGTTGCCTTGAACACAAACACACAATACTGTCTCTGGGGCTAAGACACACACAGGTCAGGTGTGAGCAGTAGCCTGTGATTAGCAGAGCTCATCTATGCTCTAGGATCAGATGGACAACAATGGACCCCCTACTATGCCTGGGATGGAGAGCAGACACTCATGGAAACCAGAGAAGGAGCTTCTAAGTAGAGAGAAGCTCAGCCCATCCCCAGGACCTTGAGGACATACCCCTTCCACTTTTGTATAAGGGGAGGTGAGCCCATTAAGTGACAGCCAAATTAGCCATAAAGTGGACCCCAAGGGAATTATTCAGGAGAAGGGAGCCAGGTACGATACAGACCTGCAAGATAGCGGGAAGTGCCAGCTCAGGAAAGGCAATGCTGTGGGCTTGGCTGTGCAGGTACTCCAGGATGAGATCATACAACTGCTCCACTAGGCCATCCTAAAGCAGCAGGGCAGGACTCAAGCTCAGTAGGGGATGACACACCAACACTGGAGGTCTTCTGAGAATCTATTCAGTCTCTCTCCAGGGCAGGGGGCCAGGAGGGTTAGGACAAAGGAGACCCTTGTCTCCAACCCAGGAGACTCTGAAGTCCAAACCTAAAAACTTCAAAATGGCAGACCCTCCTGTCCACCTCAAGTGACGTGACCCCAGTAGAGCACTGTCCTGTAACTTCTCCAAGAGGCCTGGAAGCCAGACTCACCCGGTATGCCTTTTCCTGCAGATTGGCACTGGACAGCTTCAGGATCACAGAGAAATTGATAGGCCTGGAGCTCATGCGACCTGGCCGCTTGTTGAAATCTACCTGCTGGAAAATCTGTCCACAAGATGTGTCAGTCCAGTAGACCTCAGGCCTAGCCAGAGACTAAGAACAGGGGCCAAACACAGCATGCTTTAGGCCACAGACTTCCTGCCCTCTCCAGATTTGGTTCATCTTCCAGAGCTCTGACTCTGCTTGATAAAACCCTAAGGACCAGAACTGCCTGTGCAAAGAGGGCTACCATTGCCTTCTTTGACAGTGAGGTACTGAGGGCTCCGTACAGCATCATCCCAGGCATGGGGAAACATGACAGCCAAAGGGCAAACACTTAACACAGGGCTTCCCAGACACTCCAAACAACACAGCCCATGTACCTGGACCCTCTCAAGAAGAGAGGGGGAATGGGACTGTCCTGACCAAGTGACACCTCTCCAAACATCAGAAGATTCCCCACACAGGGAAGGAGAACCAGGGAGATCAAAGTGTGAAGAGGCCCCTTATAAAAGAGAAGCCCCTAGATACAACAGAGCATAGTACCTGTGACTGAGCCTGACTCCAGGAGGAGGACCCAATAGTGATTAACAATGGGGCCCTCTCAACACCTTCATCCTGCCCACAAACAAAAGTGCAGAGATGCCCTATGTGCAGAAAGCTTTGCTTAAAGCCCTTGCGCCTTGTCTTCTTCTGAAACCCGTACCTGGTGTGGAAGGCCCTGCAGGGCTAGCTGTAGTACGCTAAGGCAGGGGTCAGGATGAAGGCCATCCAAGGCAAAGAAAGAAGAGATACATGCTCTAGAACAGCTCAAAAGAATTGGAAAAACTGAGGGCAGAAATGCCCCAGCAGGGTGCCAAAACAGCCTGCCACAGGGAGATGTAGTTGGCAAAGCCTGTTCACAAAGCCTACTACAGCTGTGAATAGCTGCTCACCTCAAGAATGAAGGGCAGTACAGGGATGAAGATGCCGGTGCTCTCTGACAGCAGTATCAGGGCGCGCACACAATGCATCCGCAGTGGGTAAAAGCGAGAGGTAGGCACCAGCCTGCAGGAGGTGAGAAGAGTTAGCGCTGGTCAGGTGGCCTAATCCCATCACTAGCCCTTGTCCACCTACTGTCTGTAACTTCTCCCCACTAACAAACAGGCTAGGGTCTTGTTACTGTCTGTAACTTCTCCCCACTAACAGGCTAGGGTCTTGTTACTGTCTGTAACTTCTCCCCACTAACTAACAGGCTAGGGTCTTGTTACTGTCTGTAACTTCTCCCCACTAACAAACAGGCTAGGGTCTTGTTACTGTCTGTAACTTCTCCCCACTAACTAACAGGCTAGGGTCTTGTTGCTGTCTGTAACTTCTCCCCACTAACAAACAGGCTAGGGTCTTGTTGCTGTCTGTAACTTCTCCCCACTAACTAACAGGCTAGGGTCTTGTTACTCCTGCAGGGTGAGCAGCCAATGGCTACAAGGCAATGCCACATTTCCCCAAACATAACAAGACACAAGAAAATACCTATGTTCTGGTCCTGGTCTGAAGAACTACCTTCTTGCTCGTAAGTGGGACTCTTCTGCCATGCTTCTAACAATTTCAATTTAGGGGTGGGGGCTGTTCATTCCTACTCCCCTTTCTTCCACACTTCCTGCTTTTAGGGCTTCTCTTAGAACTGCTGCCTCCATGCCCAGCCCAAAGTCTCCACAGCTCAAGCTGGACAAAGATGCCCCCTCCTGGCCAATGAGGCACATAGCACATTCACACAAATGCTTTGGTAGCAGATACTTGGTCCAAAAGCTCTAGACACTGGTCCTAAATGCCTTTCAGACTGCACATGGGAAAACCTGGGTCAGAACACAAGTGGTATACCCAGGGCAGTGCTAACTGTGCCATTCCTTCTATAACTGCCCAGAAGCCCACTCTCTCTACCTGTCCCCTTCCTCAGAGCCAAACACAAAGGCTACCGACAACACCCTGATGAACTTGCTTTGACCCTGTCCTCCAGGACTACTCAACTCTGTGTAGCCCTGTCCTTAACACTCACTTGATGCAGCCGATGACAACTTGTGAGAGGGGGTACAGCAGGGGCTTCAGGGCCTCACTGGAGCTGAGGGAACTCAGGACACGGCACCACAGGTAGAGGCAGTGCACATACTGCCAGTTGTACACGGACTGGTGTGTCTCCTGGTCAGAAAGGAACCCACCTCTAAGGCAGAGCAGTTGTCTTGTGCTGCCACCACCACCTGCCCAAGACGCCCACTAAGGTCTAGGCCGTCTCCTTCAACAAATAAGGGTTCTGAAGAGGCCTAAGCCCTCTGCTGGGGAGGTTCCAGGGCCTGACCACGTACCTTCTTGCCAGAGGTCATGGCACTGCGCAGATGGATGGCAAGTTGGCGGACATAGAGGAAGGCGTGCTGGTAGGATACGCTGGGGTCCAAGGCAAGGAGCTCAGTCAGTGTCCTCTGCATGAAGCTAATGAGAGGCAGGGTGCTGGGGGAGGTGAACTTGCAGTTCCTCACATACGTGATGTACATTTGCTGTCAAAGAGGGCAGAACTGAGGCCAGGAAGAGCAAAGGAGAACACAGGCTCCTGTCACTGGGTCACCACCCCAACTTATTGAGGAAACCATCACTTACAGACTCTGGTGCCCAGAGCTTGGTGGCCCAGAATTGAGCAAGGGGCATTGACCATACAGGCTGCTGCCATGCCCTCAGGGTGAGACTAACCTCAAGGGACAGATAAGGGGTCCCCTGCTACCTTCAGGATGGGGCTCAGGAAGGTATCCTTCTTGTGTCTGCAGATTTTGATGATGATCAGGAAGGCCAGCACCCGCAGGGACTCTTCACCAGTGCTCCACAGGACCACCACCCTCTGAGGAAGGAAAATATCACTGTCTACCCCAGCCCTTTCACCTGGGACCTCTCCTGTATGGGTCAACCAGATCAATGCTGAGAAACAGACCTTCCCAAAACACCTGGTGAAAGCCATTAAGTATTTAAGTTAGACACCAAAACACAGAACAGAGCATTCCTGACTCATAAAGGCAGACTCTGGAAATTTACCTTTACTGTTGTATGCCTATCAAAAACCACCAAAGCATACCAGGGCTGCTGCCAAACAAGCCAGGAAAGAGGCTGCCTAAGACAAGGACCTGTGTAGGTGGAGGATGCAAAGCAGCCAACTGGGAGCATGGATAATGACACTTTCTGCCCTGGCCGGGAACGGGACAAACAGGAGAGCTATGTGCAGCCCTAGTCAGACTGACATGGTAAAAGGGGCTTCTCACCTTTAGTAGCATGCGGCACTGCTTGGGAAAAGTCAGATAGTAGGGTACCAAGCTGCTAACATGTTGCAGGACAGCAGCTAACACTGTAGCTTCAGCCAGACAGGCCACCAGCTGGGAAAACAAGAGGAGATAGTGAAGCCCAAGTCTGAGGAAAGAAGGAAAGAAGAAAGGAAGAAAGAAAAAGAAGGAAAGGAAGAAAGGGGGGGAGGAAGGAAGGTACGTAGGGCTAAGGCTGGGTGTGGGTGGCCCATGTCTCAAATCCTAGCTACTTAGGAGGCTGAGATCTAAGGATCTCAGTTTGAAGCCAGCCCAGGCAGGAAAGTCTGTGAGACTATTACCTCCAATTGCCCACCAAAATAAAGCCAAAAGCAGATCTGTGGCTCAAGGGATAGAACACTAGAACAAAAAACCTTGAACAAAAAAGCTTGGGGACAGCACTCAGGCTCTGAGTTCAAGTCCCAGGACCGGCCAAGGCTCATTATTATTACCCCACTAGAACAGCACCTGTAGGACTGAGGTCAAGTATGCTTTGATGTCCACACGGAGCTTTCCCCAGAGCGGGCTGCTGGACAGATGTAGCATCCTGCAGAGACCAAAACCACACAGTTCAGATGAGTCTGCTCAGACATAGCATGCACACTAGGGGACGTGGCCTAGTGGAGCACGATAAGGAAACCTGGGGCAGGAGGGGTGCTGTTTACAGCTGGCATGTACAGAGCACATGTACATGCGTCCTTGTCGGGACACACTAAAGCGAGGTACAGACTGATACCCACTACAAAGTATCAGTCCCTCCTAGAGGCCAGCAGGTTGGCCAGAGCACAGAGCAGTAGTTCTTTAGGATCCTGCAGGACACTCAGCCCCAGCTACCTCCCTCACACATGACCTTTTCTGGGATCCTAACCCCATCCTATCAGGCATCTGAACTCTGTAGTTGGCTTGAGGCCTAACCCGGCAGGGTGTCTTTGTCCTGTATATGCCAAAAAGACCAAGCTATGCATGTTTTATACTCTTAACTTGATGAATAACCAGGTACCTAAAATCAGCAGTTGAAATACATGGTTTTCTCAAATTTTATTCCTCAATAGTGACAGGACTTAGTGCATAGTAGGTGTTCACCAAAATCCACTGAACTGCACCAAAAGCAGGGCCCCATAAGCCAACCCTTCTGAAACAAGCTGACACCCCCCCCACACACTGCCATTATACTCTGCTGCCGATCATCTCACGGCTTGTCTACTACCCACCCCACCTACTGGACTCCCTACTTCCAGTCAGAACAACTCCACAGGACATGCCTTACTAATGCACCCAGCCTGGTCCATCTCTGCTAGCACAAAAGGTGTCCTGAACTGATGGCAAGTAGGGCTCATGGCTGTCCTGGCAGAGAAGTCAGTGAGACTACATCTTCAAAACAACCAGCAAAAAGTAGGGTCGGGCCAGGCCCAGGCATGCCTATAATCCTAACTATTCAGGACTACAATTCGAAGCCAGTCTGGGCAAGAAAAAGTTTATCAGACCACCAGAAAGCCAGAAGTAAAGCTAGCTAATGGTTCAAGTGGTAGAGTACTAGTCTTAAGCAAAAAAGCTCAGGGACAGCACCCAAACCCCAAGTTTAAGCCCCAGGACTGGCACAAAAAGAAAAGGAAAAAAGCACACTTGAATGGCTCAAGTGGTAGAGAAGCAGCTAAACAAGCCGAGCAGTGCAAAGCCATGAGTTCGAACACCAGAACCACCACACTCTGCATGTTGAATTTGACTCTCTTGCAAATTCCCTGAGCCACCTGTGATTCATCTCTGAAACCTTCACTTTCCATTTCCTTCTTTATCCCTTGTCTCTAGGCATAAGCACCTCTTGGAGCCACTTATGGTGGGACTCCTATATCCAGAGAGAAAGGAAAGAGAAATAGATCCAGGAAAGCTCCTAGAGCAAAATCAAGCATGCTCCCCATGTTCCCAAAAAATTCTGGGCAGAAAATGTCAGGAAGGAAAAGTAGAGCCACCCCCACTGGCTACGTGCCTCTACCAGGGCACCTCACGCCTCCCAGTCTGTGCCACCCACCGAGCAGAGCTATAAACACACCCCTTCTCCCACCTGCTACTGTCCTTCCAAGCCTTTCCAAACAGCAGCTTCTGAAGGCAACCAATGAGGTCTCTGATGCAAAAGGTGACCAGAGCATTGAACACTGAAAAGAAGGGGCACCAATGTCACTTATATAGGACACCAGCAACTGAGCCCAGACCATGTCCTCTGATCCCAGCTCACCAGTGCTGTCTGTGACCTGGAACCGGCAAGTCTCAGCACCTTCCTGATCTCCCTGAATGGTGACTACCGCTGCTCGAAATGCCTGCACAACTTCATGAAACAGCTTGGGAGTAAGGTGCTCCTGAAAGGGGGAGAAACCAAGATTGCTAAGGGAGCACTGGGCTTCGAGGGAGCTGGCTCCTTCTTTGTGAGGGAAAGGCACCCCCGCCCCACAACCTCAGACACAGGGCAGAGGCGAGAGCTAGATCACAGAAGCACGTGCTGCAAACAAAAATGGGAGGTGTGGACTCAAACAGAGCACTGCCTTACTAAGGAAAGCTAAGCAAGAAGCTGGGGGCCAGTGGCTCACGCCTTCAACTCTACTCAGGAGGCTGAGATCTGAGGATTGCAATTTGAAGCCAGCTTGGGTAGGAGAATCAGTGAGACTCTTATCTCCAATTAATCACAGAAAAAGCCAGAATGATTCTGCAGCTCAAGTGGTAGAGTGCTTGCCTTGGACAAAAGGAGCTCAGAGACAGTGCCCAGGCCCAGATTTTATGCCCCAAGACTGACCAAAGAAAAAAGAAAGGGAGGGAGGGAGGAAGGGAGGGAGGGAGGGAGGGAGGGAGAAAGAGAGAGAAGAAAAAAAAGAAAAAGAAAAAAGCTAATCAAGAATGGGAAGCCCTAAATTGAAGCTCCAGTGTTGAAACACACAGACACACACAGACAAGTCTACAGGCCTCACAGATGGTTGGGAAACCTGGCTCAGGAAGTGAAAAAGTGCTGAAAAATACTAAACCACCAACTATGGACCACTACAAAAAATATATGATCCTCCTTTTCTATCCTAAGTGATGTACTTAGGACACAGCTTCCACCACTGATCCACAAAAGCTGCTATGGTGTGTGTCTCCAGAAGCTCATGGGTTAGAGGGGCTGGGAAGGTGGCTCAGTGGTAGAGCGCTTGCCTTGCATGCATAAGGCCCTGGGTTAGATTCCTCAGCACCACATAAGCAAAAAGAAAAAAGCCAGAAGTGGCACTGTGGCTCAAGTGGTAGAACGCTAGCCTTGAGCTGAAGAGCTGAGGGACAGTGCCCAGGCCCAGAGTTCAGGCCCCACGACTGGACCCGAAAATAAAACATAAAAAAAAACCAGAAGCTCATGGGTTAAGAATCCTAATGCCCAATTTCTTATGTTGGGATCTGGAGGGGCCTGCGGGAAGTCATTAGGATTAAATGAAGTCCTGAGGATGAGGCCCCCATGATAGCACCAGCAACTCTGTGAGAGACAGACCAGGCATAGCTCAGTGATAAAGCACTTGCCTATCATGTGCAAGGTGTGTGGGAGGGAGGGAGGCAGGCAGGGAGGGAAGATCGCGATCTAAACTAGTACCCTTTTCTGTCCTGCACATAAAACACAAGCGGCACACACGACATGCCAGCACCATGGCATCATTTACTTGCCAACCTCTTAAAATAAGACCCAAATAGATAACTTTTCTTTACAAATTACCTAGACTGTAGAAGCTGGGAATGCACTAAAACAGATACTACACGCCCTAAGACGATGAAGAGCCCTGGACTTTGATTTAGAAGAGGATGCAGAGGTCTCTTAATATTCGGTCACAATCTCAGAGTAAACGAAGGCAGTCTCCAGCCTATGGGGGGTGTCCAACTACTTAGCCCATGCTGGCTCTTACCCTTGCTGCCTGCTTCCATCTCTCCACCATGGCAAGTGTCACAGGAACAGATTCATTCCCCTGTAGTCCTCTAGGGACTCGGTCATCATCCTCTCTTCCATCCTCTTCTTCACTTGCTTCCTGTAGCATTAGACACAAAAAGGCCAAGCTGGGGCAGAGGTCACAGCTACAGCCGCCCTACCAGGTCTGCTCAGGACTCACCTCCAATGTGTCTGGCAGAGAGTGGAATTGCTCCTCTCCTTCTTCAGAGCTGTCTGAGTCACTGAAGTCCAGCAGACTCTGGTCATTCTCTTGTAGAAACTTGTAGAACTCTGGGTCCCTGTCCTTCAGTCGAGAGAGCTGGTCCTTGTGCTCAGAAGCATGGCCTTTTTGTCGGCTGGGAAAGGGAAAAGTGTCATTAAGCCCATAGGAAAGCCACCCAGGAGTTGAGGAGGTCATCCCCCACATCCACAGCCCTACCTACAATTAAAGGGGAGGATTCTCAGAGTATCCTTAAGTCTGTCTTCCAGACTATGCTACCCAGCAGCCTGTGGTGCTGTTTCAATCTAGGTATCTCAAATTCAGTACAGACACCCGGCCTGTGTGCCTCTGGAAACTAAGGTGCCCCACTGAGCTCAATCCTGTTGGAACCTATCATCAGTTCTCAGAAGCAGCACTTTCAAATCTAGGCATGCCTCCTCTCAAATATCTCCTCTTTCACCCATAACCCTCAGCACCGATGACTCTTCTTCACTGACCTCAGGTCACTTCACTGCTCAAGCACTAAGGCCTTTTTTATTCTTTTGGTGATATCCCTGAGCTTTGTGCTCAAGGCTAACGCTCACCACTGGAACCACAGCTCGACTTCGGTTTTCTTGCTGACGGTGTTGGTTTTTTTAAGGGGGTAGTGGCTAATTGGGGAGCAGTCTCTCGGACCCTCCTTCCTGGATGGGCTGGCTGCTGGGCTGGCTGCTAGCAGCGGTCCTCCGATCACCAGTCAATCACCTGTGTCTGGCTGGGACAACCTTTTATGTGGAGCTACCGAACGCAGGTCACTCAGGTTCCACAGGCCGCAGCCACACGAGCCTTTGCATTCCCTCAAAGGCTTCCAGGGCCTCAGCTGTTCCTGCTCGCTCCCTCCGTCCTGCCTTGCTTCCCTGTGCTGCTTTGGGCAGAGATGGCGAGGTGCCTCCTAGCCACTTCCACTTTCCCTTCCGCAGAGAGAGCGTGTTCTTCGGTCCTCGGCACTCTCGGAGGTCCGGGAAGGGCGGGCAGGAGGCGGGGAGTGGCGAGCGCCGACGACGGCAGGGCCCGGGCGTGGAGGCCGGGGTGGGAGGCGCCGCTTACCTGGACACCGGGCCCGGGTGGGAGGCGCCGCTTACCTGGACACCGGGCCCGGGTGGGAGGCGCCGCTTACCTGGACACCGGGCCCGGGTGGGAGGCGCCGCTTACCTGGA